CTCTCCTGCTCGTTAGTCGGTGTGATGATGCCCACTCCCACACCGCAGGATTCAAGGGTCTGTGCTCTGTCCTTCCCCAGTGACCCCCAGCGACGGGAGCAAGACGTGGGGCCGGAGCGCAGTCTGCAAGAAGGAGGAGCTGGCTGCCAACAAGAAGAAGGGCCGGACCTGGGGACCGAGCTCCACGCACCAGCGAGAGAGGCTGGGAGGCGAGGACAGGTACCGAGCCATCGGGGGCTCACAGGGAGCCACGCACACATCGCACGAGCAAACAGTCTGCCCTGGAGAGCCGGGGAAAACACCAAGCCCAAAACAGAGCATGCACAAACAGCCTTCTCTAGTACAGCTGTAGTCTCGTGCATTTACCTTTGCAGGGCAAGGTGAATAAAGTCCCACAGAGACCCTGTATTTGCAGGTATTGGAGAACAAAACACAGGGGAAATAAAGGCAGCGTCTCTGGGGTGGTCATGTCAATGTGCAGGAGAGCTCTCTTTATATAGGTGGTTAATAATTGAATCGCATGTTGCAGTTCTGTATGTAGTCTAACAGACCTGTGCCCATGTCTCCTGCTTGTCTGCGTATTCAGGTTGAAGTCCCTGGGCGAGGGGTGTAAGCAGTGGTCCTCCAGCGCCCCTAATCTGGGGAAGTCTCCCAAGCACATGCCCATGACCGGGGGGTTCGCCAGTCTGAACGAGATGGGTAAGACACTGGGGGAGGAGGGGTGGAAGAGAATCGGAGCGGAGTGTCGCCTGTCTCAGCCTGTCCCCCTGACCCGGGCCTGTCTCTGTCTCTGTCCCTGTCTCCGCCTGCTGCTGTCCAGAGGAGCACTGTGAGCCCCAGAGCCCACTGTCCCGTCTCTCCCTGCCCCCCGGAGAAGCTGGCAGCAACGGGGCGCTGGACGACAGCGGGGCTCCGCCCTGCAGCGCCGGCTGCGGGACGCCCACGGACTCGGCCCGCCGCTGCGCCCAGCGCAAGAGGAGCGACCTGCTGCTGCTGGGCTGCGCGTCACTGCTGGCCTCCATCGGCCTGGGCCAGGACCTGTTGCAGCTCGGCCGCCAGCAGGTACAGCAAAGCGGGATTACCGCAGGCCCCTCGCTTGCATGCTCAGAGGTGCAGGGCAGGGCATCCTGGGAAGGCACGAAGAACGCCCTGTCAGGGGCAAACACAGCGACCCCCTGCGCCATTTCCTCCCAGAAAACCTGCAACAGTGAAGCTGCTGGAGTGATCTGCTGCCACAGCCGTGGGCTCTGGGGGGGTTCTGCTGCATGAGTGGGGCTTGAAACCTTCAGTGTTTATTGACCAGTAACACGCTTCGCTTCAAA